TAGAGTGTAGGTCACCTTGCAGATAGGAGATGATACCCGCCAGATGCTAGTCGGAGTAGCCGATCAATTACCATATCCAATGCTCCCAAGATGCGACTGGCCAAAATTGTTAGCAGTGATAGCTTGCAAGAGACTGAAAACTTAAAATCAGGGAGACGTAGCATGAGAGGGGTGAACAGGATCAGTGACCCCACACGTCTCAGTCAACTTCAGGATGAGAATGGAACCCCAGAAGATGGATCAGAGGCTGGAAACGCACACAGCTGGAGGCAAAGAGACAGAGACCTGAAGCTCGGAGGAAAGAAGAACCAGGGCTGAGAGGCCCGAGGCTGTGCCCAAGGATGACCCTATTGTGGAAGGGTTAGCCAGAGACACCCACAGCTCACCCACACCCACCTCTGTCAGGGGAGGACACAGAGCCAAAGATGGATGTCAGTAACCTTTTTGAGGATGGGTGTTTTCAGTTGGAGCAGAGCCAGGAGGAGGGACTTCAGTATGTGCTCTGAGAACATCTAGCCCAATGTAATGGGGAGGTACTGAGACCAGAACTGATTAAGACAACCCTGAAATTTGAGGTAAGGTATTATCTCCTCTATAGAACTGAATGAGGAAAGCCTGAAGGAGAGGAGCCTGATACCATGATGATACCAGCAGGCCCTATTGAGGGTTGCCCATGAACTGCCTATTGGTGGACATTTGAGACAGGACAAAAAACAGAAGCTGGCATTTGGGAAAGGTTCTTTTGGCCAGGGTTACTTCAGGAAGTAAAAGATAATTGTGCTTCCAACCCTGTGTGTCAAAAGGTGGCCCCTAATTTTCCACCCAGGGCCACTTTGGTCCTGCTGCCTCTGGCAGAGGTTCCCTTTGAGCGGGTTGCAGTTGACACCGTGGGGCCATTACCAAGAAGTAGTGCAAGATATCAATACATTTTGGCCCTAATGGACTATGCAACCAGGTTCCCTGAGGCAGTACAGATGTGGACCATGTCTGCCCTGAAGGCAGCAGAGGAGTTGCTAAAAATATTCTCCCAAGTGGGTCTCCCCAAATAATTGTTGACTGAGCAGGGTACAAATACTGCAAGATTTAAGAAGGGCAGGAGTGACAGCCAATCTGGAAAAGCACACAATTAGGAAGGAGGAAGCACACCATCTTGGGTTTCATGTAGGAAGTGGCAAGGTGCAGCCGTTGATGAATAAAGTAGAAGTACTGTGAATGTATCAAACACCTTGAACAAAGAAGCAGGTGAGGGCTTTTTGGGACTGGCAAATTACTATAAAAAGTTTGTGCCTCTCTTTGCAGAATGAATGGTGCCTTGACAGAGCCAATATAGGCTGGAGCTCTGACCAAAGGGATTTGGACACCTGAGACAGAAAGAGCATTTCAGAAGGTGAAAGAAGCACTCTGTCTGCTCCCACTGCTGTATACACCAGATTTTAATAAATGCTTCATAGTAGGGCTCTCAGTCTTCACCCATACTGTTTTATAGTGGAACACCATACAAGTACTCGAAATATAAGTGCTGACTTCCTCTTGCAGCAATATGAGGAAGACGAATGTTTGGAGAAAAAGGAAAAACCCCAGACAAGAGAGAAGGGAGTGGGGCAGGCTGTGTAACAGGGAACCCTAGCCCTGTTACTAGAAAGTAGGGAAGCTCCTTTAAGGCTAGAGTCTTCAGGGCACAGCCTGCCAATAGAGCAGGGGTTAAAGGGTAGCCCCCACCATGCTGGTCAGCTGACTGGGGCTGCCACATGACTAGGAGAGAGCGCTCAGGGCCGAGCTATACAAGCCCTGGGTTGAGCCAGTGGGAGCCAGCCAACCCAGGTGGACACAGAGTATGGACTCCTGAATGCCCAGGGAACCAAAAGAAAACAGCTCTGCAGGTTGAGGTACAGGATAGAGAAACCCAGAGAGAAGGAGCCATGGGGTAAGCAGGCATGCTGTCTCTATTATTTTTCCTTTGTTATAGCCCAGGGGCTTAGTGTTTATGTTGTAGTTC